TTTATACAATTCATGTATGTATGGATTGTGATAAGAGTTGAATGAGCCCCCAATAAAATGATTAAAAAAAAAGAAGGCCCAATTCAAGAGGCCCAGTCTTTGAAATGTAGAAGTTTTAGAGAGAAAATGATCATAAATTGGAAGAGTTCAATAAAATTTCTAGATCCAAGAGATAGGTTTCCAACTGATAGAAAGGGTCCACTTATGTCTCACTTAGCAACTATAGCATTGTCTGGTACTTTTCATTTATGATAATACTAAAAATCTATTCTCCTACTGTTTTGCATGCAGTGACAATGTGTGTCTGCCAGTAACAAACATCACTGGTGTGAGCAGAGAGTTAAACTGGCTGTGATGGTGAAGGTTACCTGTAAACTTGACTGAGCCGTGAATCTCAATACCTTGGCCGTTATATTATATAATGGGGTAAGTCAGAAGCTATGTAATAATGTAATCTGGCACTTATGTAATTATGTAGCCATCATCCATTTTATGATCTGAAGTGGTGATTTTCATATGATGCTAGTTTTCATTTAAAGACCTGATCTTTGGACCCTAACTATTTTGGTAAGTGGGGAAATGAGGAGTGAGCATAAAGGACTTCAAGGAGGGCTATGATGACTATGTTGGAAAGAATCAGCAGTCATCTCTCATTTAGGCAAGAAAAATATTTTTCTCCTTGCCCACATGTTGAGTTCCACCTGGAAGGCTCTGCCCCTGTCCAAGTTATGTTGGGTCCCTTCACACACACACACACACACACACACACACACACACACACACACCCCACATTCAATGTGCACTAATGAACCAGGAAGCAGCAGGAAGACCAAGGCTGGCAGAGGCAAAGGCAGACGAATCCAGGGTCAGCAAGTCAAACTCATGGTTGCAAAGTCAAATGAATCCAAAGACAGAAATCAATATGGCAGGCTGCGATAGCTCCCAGAGTCAGCAGACAGTAGAGCGGCTGTTGGCTCGTCTAAAGAACTGGAGAAAAGTGCAGAATCCATAGCCAGCAAGAGGATGGGGGGAAGCCTTCCCACAGAGCCTGCTTAAATAGGAGTAGGCAGCCCTGACTAGCAGAGTGTATAATTATCCAAGACTTTGGCTTGAGATGTTTGTGAATGAAGCCGGATTCTAATCCTGAGGTCCTCCTCTGGGCATGTTCCCTGCGACAATGTCCTTATTCTGGGTTGTCCCCATATCATCCAGAGTCTCTGTGCCTTAGCCATGTCACCTGCTTTCTGGGAAGGCTTAATGGGGGTGAGGTACCCAGGACAGTGGCTCCCCTCTTGTTTCAAGGAGATGGTTCTTCAGGGTCTTCCCTCGAGTGATGAGGCACCAGCCTTGGGGCTCTTGGAGGACTCCCTGGCTGCACGACTGCAGACCAAACAGCCAGGCTTCTACTGTGAGGCCTGGAATGATTCTGCAACCTGGCTTCTCAGAATCAGAACCAACAATGGAAAGAACATGGGCTTTCAACCTGGCTCCAAATCCTGACAGCACCATTTTCTAATATCATTCCATAGCAGGCCCTGACTCTCACCGTGGGTACTGCCTCCCTCAGTTACAGGTGACTCTCCCTCGGCAGAGGACCTTGTTTCTGGGTACTAGTGCTTCCATCTAGCCCTGAAGCAATCTCAAGTCCAAGCCTTTCAAGCTATGTCCCCGGGGACCATAATAAGTCATTTATGAGCAATTTCACAGTTAATCATTAAAGCGGTAGTGTGATGTGAATAGGATTATTCTCATTTTACAGGCGAGGCTGAGACTCACTGAGATTGTATAATTTTCACAGAATCATGTGACTTTTAAAAAGGCAGGACCGGGACTGGAATCCAGTCATCTAAGTGTGAAAGAAAGTAACACAGTATACTAGGGAGAAAAGATCTTTAAAATCAGATACACTTGAGCTCAATTCCTGGCTCCAAACTGGCTGCCAGACCTCCGTGGACCTCCCTAAAGCTTCCGTGGCATCACTTTCCTCATCGGTAGCCTCAGGAAATCTTCTGTAGCTGTGTTCTGAGAATGAAATGAAATGTTGCCTGTAAAACGCCTATCACCTCGCTCCAAGAAGCGTTTGATTTCACGCCGCCCACCCTCCGCCACTCACCCCATCTTCTAATCCAGGCTCAGACATCTTCCCACTACATCATGCTGTTCCGAGCTCATTAAGGAAAAACCCAAGCAGGAGCATAAATAATGATGATCAGAGAGGAGTGAGCATGGTCTGAGTAGTCCACCTTTGCTAGGGCAACCAGGCAACCACGACTTGTCAGGGAGACCGTGATATTAACTCTGGACCTGAAGTAGTGAGCAAGGTTTTTCAGAGATGGAAATATATGGTAGGACCCCAAGATGCTCCATGTGGTGCCTGGATAGGGTATAAAATGGCATGGTGATCATCCAAGTGTTCTTGTAGACTAAAGGGAAGTCCTTTTGTTCAGGCCAGGCCTGTGACCTTGGTCTCAGGCCAGGGTGATGTTGTTATTGTTGAGTCTATTCTGACTCACGGCCACCGAGTAGAACTGCACTCCTTAGGTTTTTGAAAGCACTTTTCCAAAGTACCTCTGCGTGGACATGGGAGCACCTGGGCTTCACCCCCGACCCCCGTATAATGCACTCATGTAAATAATGCGTGCACACATAATGTGCACAGAAAACGAACACGCAGAGGACTTGCATGTTTTCCAAAAAGAACAAAAAACGTACAACACCCACATGATGAGCAAAAAAGAACGTCTACACTCCAGGCTGCAAGAAGCTGGGCTGAACCCTTTCACGACTAGCTCCCTGCTGCCATCTGGTGGTCACCAGGTGCTCCAGCCTCAGTTGGGGGGCTGCCATTGGGGTGCCGGCCTTCCAGGCATACCTCTTTCAGAAGGTAGTGTTGTGGTGGGAGTGGGGGTGCTGGGGCGCTTATAAGTAACCCTATTCCACCCACCCGGCAAAAATTGTCTTGAGAGAGAGAGAGAGAGAGAGAGAGAGAGAGAGAGAGAGAGAGAGAGAGAGAGAGAGAGAGAGACCCAATACTTGCCTTCCGTTTCTCAAACCAGCTGGGATTCTATTTTTAATCAGCGCTGCTGTAAGTTGACAGCTTGGGACGCCTTCCCTCGCCTTCTCTCCTTCACCCCAGCAGTCCAGAACGCGGTGGAAATGGTGGATGGAGCAGCCCCAACACTGGTAAACAGAGACCCACTTGCCTTTCTCACCGTGCAGCCCTTGTGCAGCACAGCGAGTGATTCGATTTTAGCAGCGTGCTGACTGTGAAGCGAACGGAGCTTAGCTTCCAGGGCACCTCAGTTGCCTGCCAAGGACCTGGTCTGGGTCCGCAAGTTCGCTGCTACAGTTTTGTAGCCTCTTCCTTTAAAAAGGGACTCGCTCGAGTACATTTCAGGCCCCACAAAACTTGGTTCTATCCCCGACGGGTGTGACGTCTTCTCCACCTCCAGCCCAGTCTCTACTTCAACACGATTCTTTCAGCTTTGTTGTAATCTATTCCTTGACCTTGGCAAATTCTTTCCCTGTTCGGTGTCTTAGCTTCCCTGTGTTACCTGATAGAATTAAAAAAACAAAACAAAAACAACCTCTCTTCCAACATGCCATACCTCGGAATCTCTGTGCTTGTCACCACTTTCTGCCCATCCCTAACTGCATGTCATTGTGTATGTACAGGCTGATGTCGCTGCCTATTTCTGATCCTGGATCAGAAGAAAATTTAGGCTAGATTCTAAGACTTACATTCTGCTCGATTCCCTGCCCACCTCTCCCAATTCCAAATCTCTTCATTGCTGCTGGGCCAGTACGGGTACCCCATGGGTCAGAAGCTTGCCTAGGTTCTGAAACGGGAGAAGAGTTTGTGCATTGAAAAGTTCCTACACTTGATGAATACTATATATGCTTCTTATGTATGATCTCATCCTGTGAAAGACCTACAACAGAAAGATATCGAGACCAGGGCTTAACAGCTGTTACTGGGCGCAGGTGTAAAGGGAAAGCATTGTTTAGGCAACCTTGAGGTTTCAGTGATGGTGGCGGAACGTGTGGCAATGGAAATCGATAATAGTTGCCCAACATGCTGGATGCGATTGTTCTCACTGTGAACATGTGAACAATATTGAATTGGCAAATGTTGTCGTACATTTTTTTTAAAAAAAGGTCCTTTCTTTAATTAGCTGGGATACGCTTGCCACATGATCTGCTGTGAGTCTTACCAGCGTGCTTCTTCCTCTCTCTTCAACAGCTTCATAATCATCCACCAGGGTACTGATTCGCAATGGAACCACTTCAGGTGCTCGGGAGTCTCGCTGTAGCATAGATACCCAGCCCCGCCCCCTGCCTCATCCCTACTCTGTTACTAAGACACTGGCAACGTAGGTGGATCCAGGATGGCCTTCAGAGGAGAATACACCTACACAGCCCCATCTACCCGCAGACTTGGGGCTTTGGGGTGGGTGGTTGTGCCCACCTGTGGGCAGATCACAGAAGGGTGTGACAGGGAGAACCTCACAACCCACACCCCCCTTCCAAAACAAAGACCATAAAGGCAGCTCAGGAGGAAGGCAGCTTGTTTATTTCTTGAGGAGGCTAGGAGAAGGAGGAGGGGGCAGGAGCGCAGTCCTTATATAGAAAGGGAGGAAAGGATTTTTCAGTGCAAAACAGTCTGTTGGTCAGGGAGGGCTGAGTTGAGGCTTAAAGGCATGTTCAGTGCTGGGGGGTGGGGGGTGGGGGGGAGACACGGTGAGATCAAACTGAGGGAAGCCCCGGGTCATCCCAGCAGTCAGTTCCTTGCCAGGGTTCATGTCCCCTAAAGGAATCATTGCCATTACTGCATATGAGTGGGAAAGGCAGGTCAGCCTATCCGAGTTCCTACTGTGTAGGGACAGCCACTGTTGGGCTTCTACGTTCAAGGTTGGTGCCGTGTTTTTATGTGCCTGGCTCAATCCCATCTCAAAAAATGTGTCTCAATTCCTGTGGGGGGGGGGGGCTGGGGTGGGTGGGGGGTGTCTGTCAGGGAAGTGACCTTTTCCTGTGCTTTAGGATGAGTCCATGCTGTCAGGTGTCACTTGCTCATGTTAGTTTGGGTCTGTGTTTCCTGTGGGTCTGGATGGGTCTTTGGGGATGGGTCTCCGACCTGCCTCTGTTCCCACTCCCTAGGGTCCTCAACCCGGCCCCAGGGTGCTGATGGTGGTGTAGCTCAGCCTGGAGAGGGAGGCGATGGAGGGGGTGGGAGGGTCCTCGTCTGGGAGAGGCCGGGGGCGAGCTCGCGGAGGGCGGGGCCAGCAGCGGGAGCATGCTTCCAGGCAGGCCTGGCGGAAGCGCCGGTGCATGAAGCAGTAGACCAGGGGGTTGACACAGGCCGAGGCGTAGCTCAGCAAGTGGATGAAGGAGATCGGGGCGCCCGAGAGCGCGCGGTGCGCCCCAAGGGCGTCGAAAGCGCGCCAGGTGTTGGCACTGTACACTGGCAGCCAACACAGGAAAAAGAGCACCACGATCACCAGCAGCATCCGCACCACGCGCTTCTTGGCCAGGAGCTTGGCGTGCATCGGCTGGGAGCCGGATCCAGGCCCCGCGTGGGGCGCCGTCAGCGCCGACAGCTCCAGCGTCGGCCGGGAGCGAGGAAGCTGCACGTAGCAGCCATCGCCATCCTCTCCAGCCAGCCCAGCCTCCAGTCGGCAGTGTCCGTTCCGGTGGCTCCCATCTGGGCACAGAGGGTGGCCATCAGAGCAGAGGGCAGGCTCCTCCTAACCTCCAACCCAGCGCCCCGCTGCGCCTACCTACAACTCAGCTTCATTCCCAATCCCACCTGCTCCCTCTTTCCTCCCTCCTCCTCGGTGCTGGGCCCCAAATCTCCCGGCTCCGCAGCGCCATCTATCATCAATATGGCTCCACCCGTTGTTGGTTTGTGTTTTCAACCTTCCCACCTGCTCTCTTCCCTTCTTGGCTTCGGCCCCGGCTTTGGCTCTCTTCGTGGTCCCCGTCGAAGCGAAGCCCCAGGTAGAGCTCCCGCGAGATCAGTCCGTATGCCACGGCCATGACCACCCCCGGCACAAAGAACAGCAGCAGGAGCAGCAGCACGGACCTGGACCCAGAACAGACAGACCAGACCGTGCGGGTCTGTGTCCAGTTGCCCAACCACAGAGACTGGGACGAGCCTAGGACTGGGGTTCCTGGGGCTGGTGGCCAGACTCCAGAGGTAGGATTTCCAAATGGGAATCCTGGGTGGTGGGTGCTACATGGGGACTGACTTGTGTAATCACTGTGTGGAGCGGCTGGAGGAGGGCCCTGGGGAATGATGGATCAGAAGCCTCACATGGAGACAGAGACGGGGTTTCCGGGGAGATTTAAGCCTTGGGCATCCTCACCAGGTCTGGCGGATACGTGCGTTGGGCCAGCGATGCACGCACTGCAGCACACGGACCCCTGCAGGCTGCACGGTGGTGTACACGGGGTAGGGCACCATGAGCAGGCCTGACAGCACCCACGTGGCTACGATCACGCGAGCCGCATGGGAGCGCGTCTGCCACACGCGCGCCTGCAGTGGCCGGCAGATGGCACTGTACCGCTCCAGGGCGATGGCCACGAGGCTTAGGGTGGACACACTCACAGACACCCCTGAGCAAGGAAAGAGAAAGGGATTCCCGTGGAAGTTTGCACGATGCACTCACCAGTGGGACTTCCCGTAACCCCCACCAGGGGAGATCCCCACATCTGGCAAAGGCTGCAGAAGGGGAGTGGTGAGGGGTGGGTGTCTCACCCACCCATGAGGTAGGAAACTGCCTTGCAGACGACGGTGCCAAAGATGAATGTGCCCATGAGATTGGGCAGTAGAGTGAAGGGCATGCAAGCCACGGCTAGCAGGAGGTCGCTGACGGCCAGAGAGAGCAGGAAGGCGTTGGTGACCGTTCGCAGGCGTCGGCTCAGCCCCAGGACCACGATGATGAGCACATTCCCTCCAACGCTCATCAGGAAGATGACAGCGTAGAGGGTGATCCTAATAGCTAGCTCCACTTCTGGGGGGGAAAGGAGAGGTGGCAATAAAGGGTTTGGCCCTCACCGAGCCAAACCTCTTCAGTTCCGCTAGCCCCCAACCCGAACTACCCAGCCAGATTCACTGCAGGCCAAGACCGCCTCCCCCCCATCTCCCCAGGTCCCACTCTTTGACCCTTGAGGTATCATCAGTTAAGCTGGCCTAGCACTACCTTCTGTTAAAAGTCTGCTTCTTCACCCAGTTTCCAGAAGGCTAGGGATGACAGTGGGAGCCCAACATCCATTTGCCGGTTCCTCGAGGCAGAGCGTGTTGTGAAGTTGATTATGGTAGATGTAGTTAGGTTAAAATGTAATACCTTATCATTTGATCTGTGCTTTGACCTATTTTAAAGTTTCATTTTTTAAATAAGTTCTGCTTTTTTAAAAAAATTGAGGTTTTCCTCTGTTTTGTTTAGTCTTTTTTGCTTCCTGTTTGTGTTTTACATGATTTGTTGTATATGAAATCCAGCATAGGTAGAGCTAGAGAGAAAGTAACTGGATTGATACTTGCCCAGGGGCCTGGCAGGGAAGCAGGGGGAAGTGGGGAACAAACAATGAGTAGGAGAATAAAATAAAATGGCTTTCAATTTATTGTGGTGATTATTGCACACATCTTCATAATACGATTGAATGATTAAACTGTATGATATTAGACATCTATACCAATAAAGCTATCTTTCTTTTCAAAAAGGAGTGATCTGAGAATATACAGATTCTTTTCATGGTCGCTCCAAATTCTTCCTTCACTTTGCAGCCAAACTTTTGGGAGAGACAATTTGTCTCTTCCCATTCACTCTTCAATCCCTTAGAATATGATACCATTCCCCTCTCTCACGGTGTGGACCCTTTCCCCCCAAGGTCACTAAGCTTTAACTCCCACAGGCCCCTTCTCAGTCTATTCTATTTGACCTCCCGGTAGCATGTCACACTGCTGACAGCTCACGACCCTTTTGAAACTCAGGTCAGATCATGTCCTTATTTTCTTTATAAGACACAACAAAAAACCCTTCACCTATTTTTAGGCCATCCGCAAAGTCCTCCAAGCACTGCCCTATCCCTCTCCCTTCCCCCTTGCTGTGCACTCACGTAAGTCATTGGATGACTCAGGTTTTTCAAGGCATCAGATGCAAGCATGCCTGCCTTCCTCCTCACGCTGGTTTCTTAGCCTGGAGTGGAATGCTCCTTCTCCAGGCCCCTCTCTTTATCGCACACTTACCTCTTGTATCTGGCGAACTCCTGCTCATTCCCTTCCCTTTAAGACTCAGACGGATTGCCACCTCTCTTGTAAGGCTTTTATGGGCACTGCCCTTGGGACCAACGTGCCCTTTCTCTGATCCGTGCACGTTCTTCACGTGTCTACCAGAGACCCTTTCACTTTCTGCTTTGTATCTGGCTGATCTCCCAGCATTAACTGTCTCATCCTCCCTCAGCAGACATTGTCAGGGGCTACCTCAGTGACATGAATAAGGGCAGCTTGCCTGCCAGTCCCGATACACGAACAGGCAGTTGTCACCCACATAGCATGATAAGGGGCGAGACTGAGGGATGTACAGGGTGCTGTGAGAGCTCAGAGGAGGGTCATCTGATGTTGCTGGGCCAGAGGGAGAGGGTGGGACAGTGGACCCCATTCTGCTGAGTTAATTTCTATTGGAAGGTGGGTTTGTTTGGGGGTCTCCATATCACAGCAAAGCTGACTCCTAGGCCAGTAGGCATCTAGGCAAAGTTGAATTGCATTAAACTGGAATAAGCCACCTGCACCCCTGGCTCGAAGAAAAGGGAGAATAGCACTTCAAGGTAGAGACAGCGAGTGGCAGAGCCTCCCAGGTTAGGAGAAGGAAGGCCCAGAGTGGTGGCTCTCTTTCCCACAGCCCTGTGCATTGATGGGCTCACTTTCACCCTCGCATTGAACTGTTTCCCCACATAACAATAGTTAGCATACACAGAAGCTGTTGTAGACATCAACAGTACTATGTAGAGGAGATCCTTAAGCTGAGACCAGTAGTGAAATAATTTTCCCAAGGTCACATAGCAAGTAAGAGGTGGAATCAGGTTCTGAGTCTCTAGATCAGTGGTTCTCAACCTTCCTAATGCCTCGCCCCTTTAATACAGTTCTTCATGTGGTGGTGACCCCCCAACCATACATTATTTTCATTGCTACTTCATAACTGTAATTTTGCTACTAGTATGAATCAGGCGATCCCTGTGAAAGGGTCGTTCAACCCCCAAAGGGGTCGAGACCCACAGGTTGAGAACTGCTGCTCTAGATCCTTAAGCTGTTTCTCCCCCTACTGCTCTTTGATCCCTCTGTCATGCATCATGCTACCTCCTTCTCTAAATCAAATCTCAATCTCCAGGGTCCATCCCACCCCAATTCTATCATAGAATTACTCACTGGATTGTAATATTTAAGTCCCTACCTCCCTTGTCGACTATGAGCTTCTTGGGGACAGAGACAGTGTCTGTCTCGTTCTCTTTAGCACTCTGCACAATGCCCAGCACACACACACAAAGCCGCTCTGTAAGTGCTTGTGAATGGATCTGGAATGCATGTGTTTCTCTCCTGCCTTTTCCCTGCACACCAGCGCTCACCTGCCTTTTCCCTGCACACCAGCGCTCACCTCTGTGCCTGCACACTGACAACATGCCTTCTGCTGTCTGCCTGCCTCTGTTGGAAGGTCTTTGGCAGGGACCGGTGCAGGGAGCAATCATAAGCTGTGCCTTCTGATGCTTTACTTTTATTCATATATGTAAATATCTGTGTCTCATTTGGACGCTGGGCCCTTCCTTCTCGGTAGGAAAGACCTACATGTCCCAAAATTGAGGCATGTGGGTGTGTGTGGGTGTGTGTGGGAAATAAAGAACTTTTGGAAGATCTCCATCAGAGCAGCCCTTAGACCTGAAAGAACGAGGCTCGTCGTCGTCTACCTTGGGCTCTGTGTTTCTTCCTCCCTTCACACTCTGCGGCTCTCTCCCACTCCCTGGTCTAGTTCCATCATCGCTCTCACAACCTGTTCTGGATGTCTCTCTTGAACGGATTTTTTATGCAGAAACTGCAGAAGTGGGCAGAGTGCAGTTTTCGTTCATTCATCTGACTGTGGGTCTCTCTCTCTCAGCTTGGCTAATTGTGGTGGAGCAGGAAGGTGAAGCTAGGCTCCATCCCTGTGAAGTCCCTAATCTGCCCAAGGACTTCTGAAAACTAGAGAACACAATCCCCATAAAAATAAGCAATTGGACAGTGCTTTGCCATTTTAACTGGGCACTCCTAGATATTACCTTGTTCCCAGACAGCGTGCTCTCTCTCTAACTCTGCTGTTAAAAAAATGCCAAAGTCCAAACCAGCTGCTCTCAAATCCATTCTGACTCATGGTAACCCTACCTAGGGTTTCTGTGGCTTTGTAAATCACCCGTGGGGCAGCTGGTGGGCTTGAACCACCAACCTTGTGGTTAGGAGTTCCACACTTACCTGACAGTACCAATTAGGTGATGTGAAAAAGAGTCCTTAAAACTCCAGTATGAATGGCTGTCTCTGTGTGCACATATGTGGCTACAGTGGCTGAAGTGAGTAGGAATCTAAGGCGGGGGTGGGAGGATGGGGCAGGACACCTTCTGGAATGCAGCATCAGTGCTCTGACCATCGACCTGTGGGCATCAACCTCGTGGGCATGAGAGGAGAGCACAAAATCAGGCCAGGGGGCTCCGCAGACTCTGAGAGTTCAGTTTTACTTCTGGGGTCTTGAGGGCTCTTATTTGTTGTGCCTACATCATTGGTTTCCAAACTTATTTGATGTACCATCCCCTTTAAAAAGAAATCATTTAGCACCCCCCGGCTATTAGAACCTTGTTGACTGTAGCCCAGAATCCAGGAGAAAGTGGACGCATCTGCTTTGGCAGCCCCTGCTGCCCAACCGCAGTGATCCACGGCACCCTGGGGATACAGTGGGTTACACATTGGGCTGCTAACCGCAAAGTCAGCAGTTTGAAACCACCAGCCACTCTGAGGGAGAAAGATGAAGCTTTCTACTTCCATAAAGAGTTACAGCCTCAGAAACCAACAGCGGCAGTTCTGCCCTATCCTATAGGGTCCCTGTGGACCCTGGAATTGACTTGATGACAGTGAATTTGAGTTTTGGATCATTCCAGCCCCTCCAGGGAGGGGGGCAGTAGCAAAAATACAGGTCTAGATTGTGGCAGAGAAAGTCTGAGCAAAAATTCAGACAATATGATGGGGAAAAGATGCCAGCTTTTATACGACAGTGTTCTGCAGAACATTGAAGCCATTGATGCCTGAAATTCTGCCTTCCATTGGTGAGTTGGCACTGGTCACCTGTGCCCACATCAAAGTAATACCAATGTCTTTGAGGTGAGCAGAAGTGACTCTGAGGAATGGCTGGTTGAATGGAGAGGCGTCCCGTGGCACTGGGTGATAACTGAGGAGTTCAGAAATACTTAAGAGTGTGTAAGTAATATCGGAGTGACTATTGGGTAATAACCTTGTCTTGAATGAATATCTAGGTGAGTGAGAGTAACACGTGTTCTGTGGGAAGTATTCAGAAAAGAGTGACACCTCTGTGTCTATAGGTACTATCTGAGTGTTATAACATTGAACGAGCAAAGGAGATATCCAAGAGTCTGTAGATAGCATCTCATTTTGTAGGAACCTGCTTGCAGCAATGTGGTGTTACATCAGGGATTTGTGGAGATTAGCCGGAATATCCAATCGATGTGGTAATAGCTAAGTGAGAAGTATATATGGGCAATATTTAAGTGAGTGTGAGTAACATCTGGTTCAGTGAAATTAATTGAACACCTGAAAAAGCTCAGGTAATCATTTTAGTCTCTCTGGGTAATATCTTGAGTGTGTGAAAGTAATAGCTCTGATTTTATGGATAATGATGCTTGGAAGAGGGTTACCCAAGTGCGCAGGGGTAGCATCTGACTTTATGTGGTTACTAATAAAATGCAAATGTGTGGCGTTCCATAGATAGGTGACATTTGAAGGAATGACTGTGGCTGATACTGAAGTGAGCATGGGTAAGACTCAATTATCTGCGCATTACGTCAAGATAATTTCTGTTGTTAACATTGGAATGAGCCTGGGTAACATACACCCATGCAGGGTACTATCTGAGTAAATGGAGACAACAGAATCTCTCTGAGCACCTTCTGGCTGCTTGGTAACACCTAAACGTGAGCAACAACTTGTAGACGCACCAGGCCTTTTCCTGTAGCTGTGCTCTGAATGGCTTCATATCCTGCTTTCTCAAGAACTCCTGGTCAATTGACTATCCCCTCTCTTCTCACCTTTAACCTTCCTCTTCTCTCCTGCTTCATTTCTCAACATTTAAAAAATGCATTTGTATCTACTACCAAAAAAAAAAAAAAATCCCAAAGACAGAATATACACACATGCACACAATTTTCCAACACCATCTTTGTTTGTCTCTCTCCGTACCAAGTACCTCACTTCTCACCACCTTACCCCCTCAGTCCAATCTTTAATCTAGTGCAGTCAGGCCGTAGTACCCACAATTCCTGCTAAGAACTGCCTTGTTATTGAATCTGAAGGACATTGTTCTCTCCTTATCCAGCGATAGCACAATGTTTGACATCATGTGGGCAGGCATTGGGCTGATAACTGCAAGGTCAGCAGTTCAAACCCTTCGGCAGCTAAAGCTGAAGCTGTCTGCTGCCCAAAAGAATTACAGTCTCAGAAATCGTACAGGATCTATATGAATCAGAATCCATTCGAAGGCAGTAGCAGTGAGTATACTACTCGGAAGGAACCCTGCTGGCATAGTGCTCAAGCCCTTGGTTGTTCATTGAAAACCAGTGGTTAGAGCAGACCAGAAGATGCAGCAATTTGCTTTGTAAAGGTGTGGTCTTGGAAACTCGATGGGGCTGTTCTACTCCATCCTATATGACCGGGATGAAGGGAAAGCGTTTGGCTTTGGACCACATCCTGCTTGAAACTCTCTTTTCCTTCGGATTCTGAAAGCACATAGCTTTTGTCTCTCTGATAGTTTGGTCTGTGTGTCTTCCATGGACTCTTAGATATTGAGTGCCTCCAGGGTCCCGTCTTAGGGCCTCTTTTCACTCGATATAGACGTGGATGGTTTTATATATTCCCACGGCTTCTGTGACCTCCTTTAGGCAAAGGCCTTTCAAGTGGGTATTTCTATCTTAGACCTAGTGCCAGACCATTGAATTAAACAGCCACTCCTCCTGCATGTCCCACTAGCCTCCAATCTCAGTGGATTCCAAGCTGAATTTATAATCTCCTTATCCCAACTTTTAAAATGTTCTGCTCCCTCGCTATCCTTCTCATTTACTATAGCACGAACACCCAGCCAAGTGCCCAAGCCAGAAACCCTGACAATAACCTCTCCCTCCTTCTTCCCTTCCAGTCAATCACCAAGTAATTCTGCTTCCAGAAGTGGCCCCCACAGCCGTCCACTTCTCTCCATCCCCACTCTCAGTGCCATCTTCCACCGGATCACCAGAACAGCCTCCTAAAACGCTCCTCTGCCCTCGAGCTCACGTCCTCCAGCCGCTTCTCCACACTGTACAACTAATCCTGGTGTAAAACCTTCAGGAGTGCCCACTGCCTTCAGGATAAAATACATACTCCTAGTTGACTTTTTGTAAATAGAGTTCCAGTCTGGTCTTCAGCCTGAGCGAGCATTATTCCCTTCTAATGGTACATGTTTCAGCCACCCAGAAGCTATGTTTCATTGAATAGAAAGTGCCCCGGGCTTACACTTTGGGCCTTTACACATCCGTACCTCTGCCTGGGATACTTCTTGCTTCTTCTTCCCCTTGACTTGGTTGGCTCTCCCTCATCTGTCTGATTTCCCTTCAGACATCACTTCTTCAGGAAGACAACCTTGAGTCCCTCGGGGGTTGGGGTGCGGTGTCTTTTGAGGTTCCACTGCCCTCTAAGGCACTCTCACTTGGGTGTGCCCCTACCTGGTCATCTGTCTGCCCTGACCACTAACCTGTGAGCTCCCTGATGCAGGGACTGAGTCCATAGTGTTTAACTATGCCCCAGTGCCCAGCACAGTCTCTGGTTCAATAAACACTTGTTGACTGAAAGAATCTAAGGAAGTGTGTATAACAACCAAACTGCGAAAGCAAGCATTGGGTGGGCTGTGGAAGGCATCACTACTTGAATGACCGTTTCTCCTGACCTCGCTCTCCAGGACATTCCCCAACCCTCCTTACTTGTCTGTCTCCTGAATGCCAAGTCCAGCCGGCAGCAACCAGCGCCAGATCCCCTCTTCCCCAGGCCCCACCCGGGGCCCCGTCAGTCTGAAGGAATTCCTTCTTTCTTTTGGGTGCCACTTGAGACATATGCCTTGGAGACAAATCCATTGGCTTGCCATTCCTTTACACAGGACCCTGGAGACACGCATGTGTCCGCAGAATGGGGAGATCTGGTGTCCAAGGAACCTTTTAGAGAAAAGTGACGTGCAGGAGGGTGAAAGATGTATCTTGAGCAGAAACCTCAAGAAACTACGAGGAGTAAGAATCCTCTCTTGAGGCCTGGGTGGTTGGAATGGGAAGAGGGTAGGAGGGGGAACGTGGTGGGAGAATTAAGGGAGGCGGGGAGAAGGGGGGCAGACAGTCTGGCTCTCAGTAGTGAGGGAGACTGAAGGAAAGGAAGGATGGAAGGGGGTTTGGAGACCTCCTTTTGGGGCAGAGAATACAGATTGAGAAGAATTCCCATTCGGGAGGCAGAGGGTGGGGAGGTGTGACGTTGGGAGCAGTCCCAGGGGTTGAAGCGTGAGGGTCTCCTTTGGGAAGGCTGACACTTCGTGTGGAGGACGAAGGGGGTCACAGTTCTAACTTTCTGTCGGGCCTTCCAGAATGCTTCCTCTCCAACAGGACCCCTCTGGGTCCCCAACCTTGTCTGCCTTTCCCCTGACACACACCCCCCCCCCCCCCCCCCCCCCCCGCCCCCAGCGGGGCACTGTGAACTGGCCACGAAAGGAAGAGGGAGACCTGGAAGGGGTGACAAGGAGATCCTAGCCCCACAAGTCTCCGGAATCCAGGTGGGGGTGGGAGTGTTGAGGGAGGGGCTGCTGAGAAGAGGGGGTGAAGATGTGAGAGGGGTCGCCCGTGTCTCGGGGCTGCTGTGGGCGTTTGGGGAGCCGATGCGGAGGCGCGGGGAGCCTGTAGGACTGCTGTGGGCGCTGTGGGAAGGAGCGGGCGGAGGAGGCTCAGGGAGGCACCCACCTTGTGTTCCGGCTCCGCGCCCGCGAGGGCTCTCGCAGCTGACGTTGCCGGCGCCGGTGCTGTTGAGCGGGAGCCCCCCGGGGCGGCACAGCGCAGACCCCGGCCCGGGTCCGGGTCCCGGCGCGCTCCGGTTCAGCCTCAGCGGCTCCATGGCCCCGCCGGGGCTCCGCTGCCTCCCTCTGCTCGGCCGGCGGGCTCCC